GGGGGGTCGCGCCGGGAGTTGGGGGGGTGGGGGACACACACACACGACCCCAGAGCTCCCGCCCCGTCCCGCACCCCGGGGTCTGTGCCCCTGCGTCTGGGGGTCCCGGCCACCCCGATCCCGGGGAACCCGCACCCTTGGGTCCCTGTCACCCCGTGTCCTGCACCCCGGGGTCCTGGACCCCCACAACCCTGCACCCCAAAGTCCCAGTTCCCCCATTCCCTGCACCCCGGGGGTCCCGGCCACCCCGCACCCCTGGGTCCCTGTCACCCCATGTCCTGCACCCCGGGGTCCCACCCCCCTATAACCCGCACCCTGAGGTCCCGGACACCCCAATGTCCCAGCCACCCCAAACCCGTCACCCCGGGGTCCTGGACCCCCCCAACCCTGCACCCCAAAGTCCCATCCGGCCCATGCTCTGCACCCCGGGGTCCCAGGCACCCCCAACCCTGCACCCCAAAGTCCCAGCTCCCCCATTCCCTGCACCCGGGGGTCCTGCCCTCCTATAACCTTCACCCTGAGGACCCAGACACCCCAATGTCCCTGCCACCCCATGTCCTGCACCCCAGGGTCCCGGTCCCCCTCTAACCCACACCCTGGGGTCCTGGACCCCCCCAACCCTGCACCCCAAAGTCCCAGCTCCCCCATTCCCTGCACCCGGGGGTCCTGCCCTCCTATAACCTTCACCCTGAGGACCCAGACACCCCAATGTCCCTGCCACCCCATGTCCTGCACCCCAGGGTCCCGGTCCCCCTCTAACCCACACCCTGGGGTCCTGGACCCCCCCAACCCTGCACCCCAAAGTCCCAGCTCCCCCATTCCCTGCACCCGGGTGTCCCGGCCACCCCGTGCCCCTTGGTCCCTGCCACCATGTCTCCTGCACCCTGGGGTCCCGACCCCCCTCTAACCCATACCCTGGGGTCCCAGGCACCCCTTACCCTTCACCCCGGGGTCCTGCCCCCCTATAACCCGCACCCTGAGGTCCCAGACACCCCAATGTCCCAGCCACCCCAAACCCTTCACCCCAGGGGTCCCGGCCACCCCGTGCCCCTTGGTCCCTGCCACCCCGTGTCCTGCACCCTGGGGTCCCGACCCCCCTCTACCCCGTCCCCTGGGGGTCCCAGGCACCCCTTACCCTTCACCCCCGGGGGTCCCGGTGGGCTCAGAGCCCCGGCACGGTGGCCAGCGCGGCCAGCACGGCCTCCAGGTGCTGGGGGTGCACGTAGGCCACCAGGCCGCCCCGGTTGGCCCAGCGCTCGGCCCCCGCCGCCCCTTCCACCGGCCGGTTGTAGACCAGCTCGGGGGGGTTACCGGTGTCCCCCCCCCCCCGTGCCCGCAGAGCCCCCGCCAGGGCCACCGTGCCCCCCCCCAGGGCCCGCAGGATGGCGTGGGGGCCGCAGGCGTCCCAGGCGAAGGTGCTGCCCTCGGAGAGGACGTAGGCCTCCGCCAGGCCCAGGATCACGCAGAGCATCTTGTAGCCGGCGCCGGCGGCGAAACGCAGTCGGTCCCCGCAGAGGGGTCCCAGGGCCCCCGGCACCGCCCCCCCCTCCGCCCGGCTCAGCACCACGCGGGTTTGGGGGCGCAGGGGCGGGGGGCTCAGTGAGGACAGGCGGGTGTCCCCATATGCCACCCCCCAGTGGTACCTCCCCTGCCACCTGCGGGGGGGAAGGGGACCTTCAGTGCGGACCCCCCCTCTCCATCACTGGGTCCCCCAGCCGGGGTCCTGGACCCCCACAACCCTGCACCCCAAAGTCCCAGTTCCCCCATTCCCTGCACCCCGGGGGTCCCGGCCACCCCGCACCCCTGGGTCCCTGTCACCCCATGTCCTGCACCCCGGGGTCCCACCCCCCTATAACCCGCACCCTGAGGTCCCGGACACCCCAATGTCCCAGCCACCCCAAACCCGTCACCCCGGGGTCCTGGACCCCCCCAACCCTGCACCCCAAAGTCCCATCCGGCCCATGCTCTGCACCCCGGGGTCCCAGGCACCCCCAACCCTGCACCCCAAAGTCCCAGCTCCCCCATTCCCTGCACCCGGGGGTCCTGCCCTCCTATAACCTTCACCCTGAGGACCCAGACACCCCAATGTCCCTGCCACCCCATGTCCTGCACCCCAGGGTCCCGGTCCCCCTCTAACCCACACCCTGGGGTCCTGGACCCCCCCAACCCTGCACCCCAAAGTCCCAGCTCCCCCATTCCCTGCACCCGGGTGTCCCGGCCACCCCGTGCCCCTTGGTCCCTGCCACCATGTCTCCTGCACCCTGGGGTCCCGACCCCCCTCTAACCCATACCCTGGGGTCCCAGGCACCCCTTACCCTTCACCCCGGGGTCCTGCCCCCCTATAACCCGCACCCTGAGGTCCCAGACACCCCAATGTCCCAGCCACCCCAAACCCTTCACCCCAGGGG